GCTGGCCCAACAATCCTCAAGGTCACAGCATCGACTTTCGTCATCCGGGATGCCACAGCCTGGTCGCTCGACTCCTGACTTAAGGGCGCCGACCTGACTGGCACGAATCGCACCGAAGGCGAACATCAATCAAGGCTCTTCGTGGTGCAGTTCACTAGTGACGATGGCATCGCAGCCCATCGGGTACAGCAGGCGCTTGGCGCGCTCAGGAACAAGGACGGGCGGGTGCGCTTTCCAGTGCCAGCTGCGGAAGGGCTTTCCAACCAGCTCCACACCCGCCCAAACAAATCGCCATGCCGAAAGCGCACAGAGATCCTGGGCACGCGCGCGCTGGCGACCCTCCGCGAGACATCTCCAACTTGCAAGTTTTCGCCCGCGGCCACGGGTGGCTCTCCATTGCTCCGTCTCCAGCCGTGCCCAGGCCGCGGGCCCGCCACCGTTTTCTGGAACTCCAAGGGCCCGGAGGAGACGGGGCGCAAACGCCATCGCTTCCACGACTTCACCCGCCCCATCGTATGCCCAGACCCCAACCAGAGCGGAGCCCTTGACAGATTTCTGAACATGCAGTACGAAGTCCACCTTGGTTCGACTGCGACGACCACTACCAAGAAAGGCATCTCGCTCGCGACCTGGACCGCCCGCGCGCTGCCCACCTGCGTGGGGGGGGGGGGGGGGGGGGCGCGCTCGAATGACCTGCGGCAGCGCGACCAGGCCCGCGCCTTCGTCGCTCTCCAGGGGGCCCGCCAGAGCAAGCAGCATATCGAAGCTCCCATGAGACGAATTGTCCCACAGTCGAAGGTCTTCGGCTCCTCCTTCGACCTGGCGGACGGGCGCCAGAATTGCGGCGCCGCCGCGGTCATGCCGCTGCATGGGGCAGCTTCCAGCTCTGCGAGGGCCGTCGTCGACGCCGAGGGGCACGCGCTGGGGATTTGCGTCGAGCGGGGTGCATGGAGCTCCCGCGCTGCAACATCCACAACCGAAACATGTCCCTGGCTACCGACGTCGCAAGGGCTCAAGCGGCACCTAGAAGGAGGCCGCCCATCACCGCAGGCGACATGGATTTCACTGCCTTCACCCACCCCGATCTCCGACTACCTGCACGACCCCTGCCCCGCCAGGCGCACAACGGCAACAAGTGCCACGCCGCTCGCTAGCAGCATGCCCCAAACAAGGTAGGCGAGATCACGGCAGACGGCCCGGCCCTTTTCTGCAAGGACACGGGCAGCTTCTGCAGCCCCGACAAGATCTGGACGGCGACGCCCGCGTGGATGGTCAACCAGATCCGCGCGCAGGGCTCGGTGGTCAGCACCCCTGAGCTGCTGCGCGACCGCGGCGTCAAACACGCGGCCCTCGCGATCGCCGCGCAGCGCAG